CAAATGGATCTTTCCGGGTTTGTTCGACAATCGTGTCAACGAATGGAAATGACCGCTCTAAATCATGTTGACTTGAGTCAATGGGATCAAAAGCCGATGGATCGGGTACTTTTCCACTGCAGCATCCTGTACATTCGATGGTATTTTAGTATTTTTTGTTGACGCCGAAAACTGTAAATTTCATAATTAAGCTTTATACCTAACTCTTGCAGCGATATCCACAAATAAGATTTTTGGTTCACACAGAAGTGAAGTTCTTCCCGTACGTTCACTGATCCAATTCCGCCGCATCATTAAGCGTTTCCGATATTGACATACTCCGCGATTGTTTCATCTTACAGAAACGTAGATAGTGAGAAAGCATAAAGGCCGGTATATGCGTAGTGAATAAATCAAATAACGGAACAACGAGCGATAAATAGTACACCAATAAGTATTCATGTCCAATGAAATCTCTGGAGTTGGGACTTCTGGGTTTATGCAAAAAACCATTGTTATTTTTTATGTTGCAACCATATGAGTGATGTTATTCATTTCTTCATTGTGCCCCTCCCCCAGCTGGAATTTGAAGTTTAGTGACTTTGATAAATACTTACCACCGTAGTTGAGGAGAGAAGGACCAATACAAAGAAACAAGACTTTTATCAGCCGCCGATATAACATGCACAATCAACTGAATCTTTTGGATGACTATGAGAAATACGGACAATGAGTGAGCATAACTACAGAATTAGGAAACAAGCTTGAAGAAATGCCCAAATTTATCACTGAGGCCGTGGTGGACCAATTCAAATGTATAATTCCACCCGACTTTAAACGGAAAATATACTACAGACACGCGAACGATACATCGGTAGTCTTGAGGCGATCGAACGTGTAAAGTATTTCCAAATTGATCAAAAATCAAAACAAACACTCCCGAAACAATAAAATCCCCCTGATCATCAAAAAGTGCCTGCAAATCAAGGGCGCATTCATATGAAGCCCCAAACCCAGGTTTGTGTAACTAACCCCCCCTCCAACCCCAAAGAGACTCAAAGAAAGCTGATCACGAAAAGAAAGTGAATGAGCGGGCGATATTTTGCTTCAGTAGTTGTGGTACCAGGTAACTTCAAGATTTTGTTCGGCGCACAATAACACCGGTAGAACAATGACAAACAGATGAACTTTCCAATGCGTGAATAACTCTCGGTTATCAGTGTACCAAAAAGGAAATATTCAGGAAATACATTGTAACTGCGCTTTAATGACATCTCTGATAGGCTGGTCAAATTTTAGGAAGATTTTATGAAAACGGCAACAAAAACTGTGAGATAAAATTGGACTAATTTGATCCAGAAAATGATCGACAATTGTTGCATTGCATAGGTTGGAATATAAGGAAGCAGGGAACTCGAATACCGGAGCATCAAACGGCTCTCAGATGATATGATGCACTCTCACTTCTTTCAAGGCATGCAAAATAACAACGAGGAAACTTTAAAATTGAAGAGTCCAACAGTATTCCCTAAGCCGGTAGGAAACAATCAGGGAGAGATTCTGGAAGCATCATGCCCGACTGAAAATTCCATCGGCTGACATTGACAGCTACTGGTCTGCACTTCACTGCGAATCAGGCGGAGTTGAGTCGATTCCCCTGGTAGCAGATAGAGTCAGTTTTTTCGATCTATCAACGTAGAAACATCAAACACATCGTAACCAGTCCAACCGTTCATCTACTAGAAGAATAAGAAAAATAGCTACTTGGGTATCTCCATTTGATGCGAAGTAATTCAACAATCTATAATAAATAATGAATATTTGAGTCAGTTCTCACCAAACAACCGTCTTGAAAATGCCACTTCGACTGCGGTCAAAACGTTTACAATCAAATTACCAAGTTAGGTAAGCGTCTGAACACGAAGCTGACACAATGCTTGGAAGAAAAAATCCAAAAGGTTTGTCTTTTTCGGAAACGTTGGCATCATGTCCATTATGCGTTATTGAATAATCAATTTTGTGCAAATGTTTCCGTCGGAATCGGGAAACATCTGGCATACTTTCTCCTTTGTATACTCAATTGATTTACACGTGGCACGTGATCACCCGGAATCTAAAGACAGGGAATGACGGACACCTGGTTGCTGAAATAGCTGAACAAAAACAAAATTCGTCTCTTGTTCGAAGCCAAGAGGAATAGCGTGGAATGTATTCCAATTTATTGTGAGACGTGTGATTCGAAACTCATTTACTAATCAGAGTGGATTTTAACCAAGTAGTCAGTACCTAACACCTCCAATACTTTGATCACGTAGCGAGTGAGTATCTGTTATTTGATCACAAAGAACAATTACACAATCACAACAACAACATGATCACCGAAATTGCCAACATGTCGTTTAGCTTTACTGATTACGGAAATATGGATATCGTACTTTTTACAGGTTTCGATTCATAAATCTGAACCAATATTTAACTTTTCTTTTCTATCTGACTGACTTAGAGGATTTCAAAAGGAGCTCGGATCATAAACACGAGTGTGCAGCTTCCACCCCCCGGGGCCCACTTAGGGTTAACTATCCGCATTATTATCAATATGCAAGCTTTTATTTTCCACTACTGAACAGTATAGAGAAGTTGGATCTAGGATATTTTACAAAATATATCTTCCGTCGTTGTGACTGTCTTTTTCCTTTCCACACACACACGCCCACGCACATCCCAATTTTCCAGTGCTCTTCGTTCAGCTCCACCCCATAATCACCATAACTAATTTGCATCGATCATCACGATAACTGAAACGGTAAGATGGGGGCGGCCGTACAACCCACATCCCGTTTGATCAATCGATCGCGAGGCGAAAACTCCTTGCGGGTCGGTGATTTGTCGAGATCGGTTACTGTTTAGTATAATACACCTTATTTGGTTTGAATTCGTCAATATTACTTTTCACTGCATCGCCTGTCACTATGCATACCGATGAAAATTGGCTTATATATCATGGATCCTATCTCCATCTTGGGTGTATATTGCACTGCAGAATTAATATCGTCTGAGCTCTCTCTTTCCCTCCCATTTCACCAGGGCCATGGCCACACACTCAGCTCTCAGTACTTACTGTGTGAGCTTCATGACCCGTGAGCACCGGTTATCAATTTCACGCAGTATCCAAAATTTGAAATACACTCAAGGTCATTTCTTTCAATGGTGAATACAAATAAATTTGAAATCTCCGACCAAACAAAGAGATAGTGATCCTCCATATTGTTCTATATTAGTTTTCCCATGATATTCGTTCAATTGTGTTTTTCTAGTTAACAAAATACAGGAAGCAGGACAAAGAGAAATGATGATTTGATATTTTGTGTTTATTAGGCGTGGACCGGTCATCTTTTGCAGTTGGAAAACATTCATGGGAAAGAGATATCTTTGGAGGAAACACCGTTCCACAATAAACAAATAAATAAAAAGCTAGATTAAAGGTTAAACATGATGAGAAATTATTGAACTTAATGTTTTATTAGTCAGCATTTCGTTAAATTGCTGTGGGGACAAGAAAGGGTTCTAATCGCCTGCAATAAACAGAAGACAAAGTCTGACACTCATCAGACTTGTTCTTCCCAACGCATGGTGTTTTGACTATCGTACATGGGGATCGAATAACATATTGTTGCACGTCAGACGCAATACATCTGCAACTGTACCCACTTATATTGTAACTTCTTTTAGTTAAGTTATTCCATCGTCTGGGGAACGAGTTTGTCTAAAGTACCATTGATCGGGTTTGAGAATATGAATGACTAGATCCTCGGCAAATTTCAGTATGTTCGTGTTTCTTGTGTTGCAGGGATTTTTGTCCAGACTTTTGCTCGTCTTGATCATCTGTTGACACCGAAATGTGTGCGATTTTCATGTCTGTCGAACGTGGTAGAACTCCCATTGTCTTCGCGTTCGGTGAAAGTGAATTAAGCACTTCTAGCTGAAACACACGCACTCTCAACG